ACGAGCCCTACATTTCTGTGATTTTAGATTTCCCCATTTCTTTTCCATCTTTGCAGCTCGAGGTCGCAAAGTCCACGACTTTTCCGGCGGTTTTATCATTTTTCCGCCGATTCCGGCAACGATTTCCTTCGAGTGAGGTATGAAACTTCATCGACTCTTCGTAATCTTCAAGTGGGTATGCTTAGTTTGTGCTTTCGTATTCGTTTTAGAGTTGGATGTTTAGAACACCTAGAAATCCGGTTTTCTCCAGTGAAATTGGACGGTTTCCGGTTAGAATTTATCATCGGCCTAGTTGTGAAAAGTGTTTCCCTTGTTGAGCTCTAGCTACCACATAAATTTGAGCTCCTCTAGTTAATGTTGAAATTCGGGGTTTGTAAACCCTCCATCTTGACTTCCACCGCGTGTGGCGGTGCGTGGGATCGTTCACGAGTGTTGTCTAGGTTTTAAATACCTTCTAGTGACCATGTGAACCTATGTCTAGTTTGGTTTCCAAAGATTGAATTGTTGGGTGTGTAGATCAAATTTCTTGATCAAGGGTTTGGTTCAAAAGGGCAATTTCTTGTTAATTTTGAGTCATGTTAGTTTTGGATGTTGTGTACATGACTTCTGGACTATCTGGTAGTATTTTGGGATTTGTTATAGTGGGTTGTTACGTAAGTTACAGAAAAATTGACTTCTTTGCAAAGAAAACTCAAGTTTCGAGTAGCCTTCTTTGGCTCTTAATTTCTAGGCCTTTATATGCTCCTTTGGAGAAAATTTTTAGTGTGTTGAAAGTATTTATGCTCATGATCGTAACCCAATTGTTTTCACTCAATTTCGTTGAGTTTTGGTTGATCAAAACCTTCTTTAAGTTTGGGTCGCGGGCTGCCAAACAGCAGCAGAAAATTGGGTTTCCAGTTTCAAGACTCCGTTTTTCCTTTTGGCATAACTTCCAATTTAGAGCTCCGTTTTCTACAAACTTTGTATGCTTTTAAAGTACAGAACACAAGCTTCAAAACCCATATAATATCACATGATTTGGTTTAGTTTGGAATGTTCCAAAGGGAACCTAAACTTGGTCTAATAGTGTTGTTTTCTGCAGATTGTGTGGAGAAGTAGAGTACTTTTTTCGCCACACCTATTTTCTTTTCCAGATTCCTTTCTAATCTTCTTTACTACTAATTGAGTGATATTATTTGAGTGGTAGATTCCATAATCAGTGTACTTCTTTAGATAATATTAATTTTGTTCATTTGAAGAGCCTAATCGGAACACAAAAGTACAACCAAGAGTATAAATACAAGTAGCACACATAACTAACCAAACTAAGCTATTAAAATGTGATTATTTTATAATGGGCCATCGATCTATTTTTATTAAATGTGGTTTGATTATGGATGGGTAATATTTGTGGGAAAGTGATTCGAATTGCATATTGAAATGTGAAGTATGTATACATACGCCATAGACCCATGTTAATTAAATATGAATTCTATTGAAGTGTTATTTTATTTCTGGCCAGTGATCTAATTTCAGTAAGTATGATTTGACTTGTGGATTGGAATTATGGTTTGTATTGTATGATTGGATTGATGTGATGAAATGCGAGAGCTAGTAGTGGACCATTAATCCATTGTTATGGGGTTCGTTGCTTCGAAACATGTTTCAACCCTCGTGTCATTATTCATTCTCGTTTCGTTGAGTCTTTGTATCTTGAGTAACTTCATCCATGTCTTGTTTTATCGGGTGGTGTTACACATTCTACTCCGCGATTCCGTTGAGTGATGGTCCGGAATCGTATCCTGGTTTGGATTCCGTTGAGTGATGGTCCGGAATCCTTCCTACTTCATTCCGCGATTCCGTTGAGTGACGGTCCGGAATCGTATCTTGGTTTGGGTTCCGTTGAGTGATGGTCCGGAATCCATCTTACTCCGCGATCCCGTTGAGTGATGGTCCGGATTGTATCCACCTTAGTTCATGGAGTTTAGTTTGAGATGGTTGCAAAGTGTAGGCTTTGGATGAACAGTGTCGCCTAATTCTACTTTCATTGTGTGTATGTGAATATGGGTGTGAGATGTTATGGTCGTTTGAAATGAACTTTTGGATGTCTGGGTGCCTCCCTCGGAGTTTTCAAAAGTTTGGTATTGATTTCCTATGAAAGATTTATATTCAAGGTTTATAAATTATCATTGATGGCCGGGTTTATTATTGTATCACTTGCTTATTTTATTGTCCCTCACCCGAGCCTCTTAGTTTATCTGAGTGCCTGAATTGCCAGTGCACCAATTCCATAATATTGGCATTGACTTTACATATGACCGGTCTGGGTAGATTATGAGAAACCGCTTAATATTTTGGTTCCGTTGAGTGGTCCGGAACTCAATGTTGTTGGATTCCGTTGAGTGGTCCGGAATCCTTGCCCTTGTTCATTCCGTAAGGTGATCTTAGAATCCTAAATTCGAGTAGATGGGAATTACCCACAATAGATATTGATAAAATAAATTAGAATTACCATGTTATTATTCTTAACCCAAATTGGGAATTATGTAGAGTTCTTTAATTAATTCGTGAAATGATATGTTATATCACTGATTGATTAACGTAATTAAATGTTAATATTGTACTTTGTGATTCCTTGATATGTTATAAGCTATATATTGAAATATAATGTTGGAAGTATAGTGATTAGCATGATGAAGTGAAATGTGATTTGACTTGTGTATTGAAAATGGTTGTGACATGTGATTGAAACGCATATTGAATTGCTTGGGAGATGTGAGGTCTAGTAAATGACCGATGACCCATTGTGATGTGGATTTTACTCAATATTGCTTCGTTTCGTTGAGTTTCGTGGATTGGGTAACTTGAATCATGTCTTGTTCCTTCGAGCCGTTGTTATGTTTCTTGGACTTCTGTTCAATTTAGGTGGATTGGAACTGAGTTCTGTTTGGATTCCGTTGAGTGATGGTCCGGAATCCCCTTTGGAGCCTGGGTTCGGTGGGTGGTCCAAAATCCCCTTTTTTCCAAAGATGTAGTCTTCAACTGAATTGTGTTGCTCTAGCCTTGCACTTCAACTTGTGGTATGTGTTATTGATTGTTGTGATTATGGAATGACATTGGATATGAGTGGAGTTATCATGAGTATTTTAGTTGATTAATATTTCTAAAGAATAATATGTACTTTGTTGATTCTTAAATATGTTACACGCTATGAAACGCGAATTTATGTGGGAAACGTGATGATTTATTTGATGGATGAAGTGGAAATGTTAATCGTCATGTGGGATTGTTATGTTGGATATCTTTGTTATTGTTATAATTAGACTTGTTGATAAACGTGGCTCGAGAATGGTATTGTACATCGTTGGTTCTTTGAAATGATATATGTTGTGAATTGCAGTATCATGTTGTGACATAATGGCCTATATATTGATGGAGGGGAAATCATGATTTCCAGATGGGTTGTTATGTAACCTTGTGTCTAGCATTTTCATGCTTGTCAAGTTCTATTGATTGAATGAGACATGTTATACCTTTCGACTTAATCGGACTGTGTTATATGTCAATTATTGTGCATAATGAACTACGAATGGCTTGATCCCTGTTTAGGGTACGTAGGCAGTCTAACGAGGAGGTTAGATGCAGCCATAAGCATACGAAAAATAACTATGTGATTCGATTATTGAGTTGTGCTTGCCCATATCTCGTAGGTGAATATGATAGATACGGATTTTTGGTGACGTCATGTGTCAATTCTAGATGTATGTCGGGATTGGGGCGTGACAAATTGGCTCGTTATTGGCTCTTTACACTGAAGCTACCACTTATGGATGAGTCACTAAGAAGTAAAGGACCATTCAAATGCAAGGTTTGCATTCCACTCCTGCATCAGTGAGCAAATACTGCAAGAGAAGATGCTAAACCTGCATGGGGAAAAACTAGGAAAGATACCACTTCTGCAAGGAGAACATATAAGGCAAGTGAGAATGATACATTGAAGCATGTAGAGACAAGCCCAACAAACATGTGTTGATTCATCCTTGAGAAAACCGAAGATCACTTGCCACGTGAAGCTCTTCATGGTCTAATTTCATTCAAGATCAAGTGTCCACCACCCTTGAATCAAATTTAGCTCCAGATAAATGAAGTAAATTCAGACTTTTGGAGGAAATCAAAAGACCCTCCAGCCTAATTCAAGAATAAGCCTATGAAAAGTTAACAACAAGTAAAACACCTCTTTCGGCAACTTTTCTCACTAAGAAACTGGAACAGAATGATCAACTATCAGCCTAAATGATTTGAAATTAGAGGAAGCATCCAAAAACATATCAAGAATTTAACGAGTTAATCGAAGACTTGTGACCATCCAAGGGGGAGTGTTGTAAAGGTGATTGGATGATTAGCTACTATTCCACTTCAATCTGTCTTTATTAAATGGAATGTTAGGTGACTCCACTAATATGTCTTTCACTATGTTGCTCATGATTTGCTTCTATAAAAGCAAATCTTATGGAACACAACACACCTAAGGATGAAAGTAAGAATTTCATGGAAGGGGAAGAGAAAAAGAGAGGAAAAGTAGAAGGGATAATGGAGAGAGTTATTTTGTACTCTTATTATTCTAAATTATAATGGAAGCACCACTGCTGCTCCGATGACGTACTCCAGTCACAGTGACTGTAGAGGAACCTCATAAATTTTGTGTCTTGTTTTATTTGTTTCACTGCACATACCATCGATTTTACAACAATTGAGTGTCTTTATAAGATTATAGGATGTTAATAAAAGTATATAAAAAATCATACAATAGAAATGGATATATAAAAACATAAAAAAAAAAAAAGTAACAAAAATTTAAGAAAGTTACAAATAAAATCTCATTACTAATGATTTGTACTTCTTATAATCTGTGAAATTAGTATAATTTCTCACTGTATTACGTAATAATAAGTGTAAAATCAAAATAATTTATAGTGAATAAACTCATTATTTTGTTGATTTTCATTATAAAAAACCCTTACATGTTTTTGGCTAAAAAGCCTATCATACACACTGAGCTTCAGAGCGAACCTCTGTGCAAGAAAGCAGGCAAACGAGCAAGCAGGCATGGCTTGGGAATTGGTCTATTGGCTAATCTGCTTCTGCGTTGACCTTGCCCTCTTCGCCTCCAGCCTTTACCAAGTACTTGTTTTTTTCTTCACTTCTCTTGTTATGATCCTAAACCCTAATGAATGCCACCACCGTTAAACCCTAGAATTGCTGCTGCTCTTTTTTCCCTAATTTTTCTTTTCAAGGGCGTTTTGGGTTTGTTTTGTTAATGTGGGAGCCAAGAGCTCTCTGAGATCGCTCAAGTATATGTATTTGTGCTGAATTTTCTTGGGAAAGTGGAAATTTTTGTGGGTTTTTGAAATTTCCCTCTTAATTTCCTGTGATTTGTGGTTTTTCAAGGGAGTATACTAACTGTTAATATGAACAAATATGGGAAAAATCGGTCCAAATTTTGTCGTAAATCTGAAAATTTGCCTCTGTTATTTGTGGGTTAGAGAGTTTTCATAGCATAGTTACATGTATTGGGCAGCATGGATGAAATTCATATTTGTGCTTCTCGAGTGAAACGCCTCTAATGTTTTTCCCCTTCTATGCATTTTGTAGTATGTGATGTTAACAGACTTGGAGGCTGACTATCTCAACCCGTACGAACTATCAAATCGCATCAATCAATTGGTTGTCCCTGAGTTCATAGTGCACATTGTCTTCTGTTCTTTTTTCCTTTTGGCTCAACGTTGGTTCATGTTCCTTATTACAGTCCCTCTTACTTGCTATATTGCGATGCTGTAAGTATTACTCGTCATTTGAATATGCAATGGATTGCTAAAATTATGTGATGCTATTATCCCAACATAATGCTTGTGATACAATTTGTGTTTTAAGTTTTAACTGATATGAATGCATATCGAAAAGATAATCAACACCGATTTAACTTTTTGAACAGAATTGTGATTTCCATTTAGAAATTGTGACAGATAGATTTGACTAGACTTGGTATAGTTGAGAGAATTAGGGTAACATTCTTGTAATATAGCACTATATCAGGCATAAGAAGGTGAATAAGCTAAAAGATTGACTGAAATTTTAATTTCATCATTGGTCTAACTTATTATTTAACAACTTCTGTCCTCAATTTTTCAAGGGGTTAAAGTGTTCTAACCACCTGTCGCAATATTTTGCCTTCGAGAATGCAGTTGGACCGCATTTCACGTTTTCTTTTGAATTCAATAGTCAGCAGACTTGACATACTTTATTAGACACTAACTAGTAACCACCATCAATAATGTCACTGTTATTTCTTAAAGTGCTTTTCATATTTTGAGTGGAAAGACCACATGGATGGTGATGGGAAGGATTTCTGTTACTTTTAACCGGCCTTGTTAATTTCTTTATATGTATTCTTCATCATCATTGCGGGTGACATTTAAAAGAATGAAACTCAGCATTTCCTTCACTCTTTCTTCTAAAAGTCATTGGTCCTATATCTGGAAGTTTTGATTGGATTTCTGTATTTAGTTTCATAAAAGGATAACAAAAAAGCCATTGTACTATGTTCCTCACCACTCACAGCATTCCCCAATAATAGGGAATTTTTCATATCTCTTCTATTACATGCCATTAGCAGCGATGTTACTTTGGACAATTTAGGGTTAGTGTGTCTCTTGATTGTTAAAACTTTTGCTCTGCTGTTCCATTTAAATTGAGTGGTGAAACAAAAAGAATTGGAAATAAAGTATTGCTTGATCCGCTATAAATTAGATTTTGTTCTGGTTTATAGTACCTATTAAATGACTGTCCATATGCGTATCTTGATGTGTGGTATTTATGTTTGAGAGGACGGGGGGTGAACTTGCATTCCCAACTTCATAACTATCATTTCCCCATGATTCATTCAGGTTTGTAAAACAGCAGCATCTTATTGATGTGACTGAAGTGTTCAGGGTTCTTAATACTGAGAAGAAATGCAGGCTTGTCAAACTTGGTTTCTACTTTTCCCTCCTTGCTGTAATCATCATCAGGTTTGTTCTTTACAGTATAAATAGACTTTTGCATGCTATCTTTTGCAGGGAAATGTTTTTTTGCTCTTTGTGTTATCATTTAATTCATTATCTCTAATTAAGTGTTTCGCTGCTGTTTGGTTATAGAATTGCCATCTCTGGAATATTAATTCCGACGGCCGGATCTGAAGAATTAGACATTCGTGCCTCTTTTCTAGAATTCTAGAACCGAAACTTCATAATCTACTTTCATTGTATATACCTTTTATTACTTGGAGTAGCACCTGTTGACATGAATGATTAACAGATACATGATATCGATGGGGGTATCAAGATTAAGGATTAACGGATTCCTCCTTAGGTTGCAAAGTTTTCTCATTGGCATATTTTACCTATTATTCTTTTATCATGATATCGATTGCTTTTAGAAGTCGCTGTATCCTGTATATATAGGTGGTGATATGTTTTATTTTTGATGATCCACAGTTATGGTATCTGATTTAATTATCTATCCAGCACTTAACTCTCTCTCTCTCTCTCTCTCTCTCTCTCTGAACAAAGTAGGGATTAAGTTTGCGAAATGGTAGTCTAATTCACCTTGCAGGATTCTGTTTTCGATCAAATTATAAAATATCCTGAAGAGCCTGGGTCAGATGTATTAAAATCCTTATTTAGATCCGATAATGGAGAATATCTGCTTATTAATAAAAATTGTGTATAAATTTGTTAAGAGTAGCATGAAAGTTCTCTGAAATGATGATCCCCCGGTTTTCATTCCATTGTATTTTCATTGAAATTTCTTCACCGCGTAAATATTTCATATCCCATTGTGTTGATTTATCGATGGGGACTTTAGCCGCATTTCCCTACATCTGTCCACTCATAACTGCCATTCCAAAATTTGTTCCCCTTGAGAAATTGTCTTCCTTTCCAAAAAAGCGCTACTGTTTTATATGAGCCGCAAGCACCAAAATGTACTCAAAGTCTGTCATTTAATTGATTTCATTAAGCCTTCTACTTTTTTCTTTCATCATCAGTTTATCTGGAGGCGATATTGATTGTCGCTAGTTGCTTCTTTTGCCTCCCTAGGTGATGTATCAAATGCTGATAACAAATCCTAATGTGCAGGCTTACCTTAGCTGCTTTCAACTCTTTGACTAGTGAAGAACATGCTGTGATATTTTGATTACTCACTGCTTGACAGTATGATTGCCACTCATTGTAAGTTTGTTTTCTATCTATAGTTTTGTACTACTGAAAGATGAATCATAGCTCAGGGATTATAGAAATTTAGAGCTCAAAGGGTAGAATGATTGATTCAGTGGACAACCCTACCCTTTTGTTGTTTGATATGTGAAGTATTCGCGTTGACTGATAAGCATGGTGAATCCTTGTAGATTGTACCTTTGTGTTCAGATGATTAATGGTATAGTTGTTACTTGTTAGCTTGTCTTCAGGGTGCTTTAATCGTGTCCATGGTACGTCATCTTTTTTTTAATGTCTTGTTCTGTTGTTAGCTTCTCTCGAAAGGCAGCAAGTATCTTGGTTGTTCATCCATTGATTTCGTAAGTGAAAGTGACGACTGAACCTGCTGTCCGACACTCCTAGTTCATAGGTTACCCTAGTCGTGCCAATTCATTCACCACTGTTATCCTTGCTGCGTTATTACTGAATGTTTGAACTGCCATTTCTGAGTCCATTTCCCGCAAAATATTGAAATTTTTATCTACTACAAATGCATTCTTTTCTTCTTTCGTACATAACCACAACAACTCTTGGCCTTGTTAGGCGAGATCTATCATCGGTTGTTGGTGGTGTCAAACCACATGTTTATCTATGCCATTACGTTACTAGTCATTTGGTAAGAGCAATAGAAACATAAATGTAGACAAGCGGCTGCACCTCTTGTGATTAAGAGAAAACTAGGTGCTTGTAATTTCTGGTTGTGGGCAGAAAATATAGCCCAAAGACGAGTGATCTGGGCTTTTGTTGTTAGGCCCAGACTTATGTGGGTTTGGGCTTGCGGGGGACATGAATGGGGTTCATGTCCTTTGTTTTTGTATACCTGTTTGGGCTTTCTGAGATTGCTAGGTATTTCTTAAGAGTTAGGGTTAGGGTCCAAAGTCCTAGCCAGCCTAAATTGACAGATTTTTTGACTTTCGGCACTCTTCTTCCATCTACTGCACTCCCTTCTTTTTATAATAAATAAAAGGATAAGGGGACAAAATTAAGGGAGAATTCAAAAGAGAGTGCGGAAATCATTTTCTTTTTTGAACTGAGCTTTGAAATGACAGAAGGTATCAAAATAGGCCCCATATTTTATTGAGAATTTTAACGAAAAATTCTTGATACTGTTCAGTTTAATGAAAAATCATATTTTTACACTAAAAAGTTAATCAAGGTGCTATTGATTTTACTTTTTATTTTGTCTTTATTATTAAAACTCAAAGATTTTAAATTTTTTTCATTAATTTTTCTTATTTTCTTCACGCCCCCCAAGTGTCCAACCCTCATGAGCTTGTCAGACTGAGACACCAGACAGACGGTAGGCAGCTTCACAAAAGCTTTGCCTTTCTTTGTACAGTCAGAAGATGCCAATAATGTGCATAGTGGGCCCTACTCCCCACTGGTCCGTGACTTGTAGCGTGCTGGGTCCTTTTCGGGCCCTGGGACTTGACTAGTGTTGTTTTCCTGTTTTTGGACTGGGCCCGCCATAATTGAGGCCCTTTTTGGGCTACGGAAAGTGGACCTTCATCTGGATGGTCACTGTCAAGTGGGCCTATCAGCTCGATGACATCTGACCGTCCGATGTACCCAGTCCCTCTCTGTTCATGATGATTTTACCCCCCAAGGACCTGTTTGGGTATTGAAAGTCTCTGGAGCCTTGGTCTTCTGTTGGCTGTTTTTGTTTGGGAAAATAATTCCAACAAGGTGTTTTTTGCCTGCATCTTCCTCCATGTCTTAGCGTGGGCTTCCCTCTCTGGCTTCTGACATAAAATGAACTCACTCTTTTCCTCTTCCTTTTTTATTTATTTATTTTATTTTTTATTTATTTATTTTTTTTAGGTACATCGATATTTTTATTAAGGGGAGGGGGAGTTCGACTAAGCCACACAATAGGCCGCCTAATTTTGTATCGAATTCGCCATCCACGAGATACAAACCTAAGACCTCTCACTTCCTAGTGAAGAGGAATATCATCAGACCGTAGTACTGAGTGGCAAATGAACTCACTCTTACGTTCACTAGATGCACCGAAGATTTGTTCGGTTCGTTGTTTTTCCTTGATTCATAATTTCCATGGTTATGGAATGACATATAGTGGTTTCATTAGAAGGGTGTCGAAGTTGAAAGTGCTTCGTGAAGAAACGCATTCTCCAAATAGCATTAATATATGGTATTGTAACTCAGAATCACTTTTAACTGTTACACGCTCTCAAAAGTGCTCTCGGAGTTGTTACCTGCTTTAGCATTATAATGAATGGTTTGGCGTTTATGAGCAGGTTTTTCTGACTAAAATATCCCATCCATTCATCAAAAAACCTCCCATCCACACCATCTAGGGTTTACATTATCCAAACATTAATACTGATATCGTGCCTGTTGCTTTTGCTCTCACATTCGGTATGGCCTCTAGATTGCTATGCAGCACTTGGATTGCACCTCTCATTGTTCTTTGCTTTTTGAAAATTAGTATCATTGCAGCTAGCAATTCACAACGTGAAGTGATAACCGCATACCCGTTTTTCTTCCGCATACTCTTATTGCATCTTGTTCATTGTTTTTGTTTGATTTATTCAATTTAACGGCCATAAACAAAGATGAGTGTGTACGAGGAGAAGAGTTGTTTGTGGTTCTCATTTCCCATACACAAAATACATTGAATCATTAACAAAGTTATGATTCACCTTGTTCTGTGGTTTGCTTGTCATGGAGACATTTTTACGTACGCTCCTTTTGGATTGGGTTATATGAATTATTTCCTTCAACGACTTGGGGTGGAAAATGAGCTCTCAAGTGGACCCTCAACCCACTTGAATTAGACACTTGGTACGTTTCTGTGGCAGACGGTGGCGGTCCTCGATGTTTTCCAACTGGATATTTTCCATCTGGATAGTAGGTTTAGACTAACTTTATGATGATTGACATGTTATGTTGTTTGGATTGTTAAATTAACCCACAAAACAAGAGGGTTTACATGTTTGAAATGTTAATGACCATGACTAGGGCACATTGTGTCATCCAATAACATTGTTCGACATACAAAGTCATTCCTCCTCACCTGCAAATCACGGTCTTTTCTAGTAGAAACTCAACCCGCCATCTACAACTAGCACAAAGTTCTAATTTGTCCCTTGGAAGTGCGCATGAGGCTGGTATCTTCCTCTTAAAAATCAAAGTAAGAAAAGGTCTAATATCCAGAAATAAATATCAATTTTGAAATGGGCCTATGGGCCATCGTCACGTGGACTGCACGCAGACCCCCATTTAAATGTGGCTGCTTTCAAAATCTTATGTGGTCCAAACCCCAAATATTCCTTATGCAAACCTTTTGGCACAATTTGGTCAGCTTTTACACCATATCTATTCTTAATCCAAACTAGCCGATGAACACACACTTTGTATGTGTGAACAATTTCATTTTATTTTTTTATTTTTATTTTTTTTTTTTATTAAGAAGTGTGATTAGTTTTTAAAATTTTAAAAAGAGTATGAAAAAATGTTGATGGGACAATTTCTCTTAATAGGTGCATGTTTTATCTTAATATTATATAAATTTTTTAAAAAGAGTATGAAAAAATGATGGTGGGAGAATTTCTCTTAATAAGTGTATGTTTTATCCTAATATTACATAATTACTGCTTTGTCCTCATGTAAATATTATGTATCAAAAGCGAAGGTAAAATAGGAAAATTAAGGATATGATCGTCATGTTCTCAAAAGGTAAAAAATGACTATTTTGCCCTCATTATGTAAGTATCGTGTATCAAAAGTGAGGGTAAAATAGGAAAAAATGGGGCAAAAAGTTGACAAGGAAGGTTCTCTTAATAATAATATAGATAAATCCCAGTTGTCTCATTTTTCTATTTTCTTTTAAATAATTTATTATATCCCACCTTCTTTGGGTGTCAAACTCACCACAATTCGCTTCTCTCTTATCACAATTCTATCATGGACTTTGGAAGATTGTGATTGAGTTAATTATACAGTAATTCTCTTTTTATTGAAGAAAAAGACGATAACTGCAAAAGGGGTCGAGGCCTTCCAATATAACCGAAAAAACAGTAATTTGCCGCGAAAACTACACAATCGTCACGCTCAAAGGCTTTTCTTAGAGAGAGAGTGAAGGGTCACACTCACATCCAAGCAGGTCTTAAGCGATTAAAGTGAATATCCCGTTGCAACGACCACTGTTAATGCCAAAGATCTAGTGTTGGCGTGTGTGGCCCTGACCAAGATGGTCCTGCTAAATGTGAAACCAATTAGCAATCCTAGCATTTGGCAAACGTGAAAACATTTGCTGACCAAGTGACTTGATACGTTATTCAAGTTCATATGTAGTCAACTTCGAACCCTCATTTCTTTCGAAAGGAAACAAAATATTCATGGAAAGAATCGACTTGAGGACAAGTCACGGCTAATTATCAAATTTATTATAAACATGTGTCCTTTTTCGTATTTAAGTGTCACAATTAAGTATCAAACTTATCACAAATATATATGGTCTTCACATTTATGGATGTTAAACTCAACTACGATGTAGGATACTAATATTTCATAGTCAAAATATAAGATTTTTTTTAAAACTATTTTTTGGGGATAAGATTGATAGGTGCATTATTTCGTATATTTTCACGTCAATTATCCCTAATTTTGTTAAGGAATTGGTTTTTAAAAGAGCACTATTATTTTTCTTTTCTCAATTTCAACCAAGTTGTGCACTTAGAACATTTTGGTGATAAATCAACTTTATCGAGGATTTTTTATGAAGGGCCAATTGGAGGAGGAAGCTAAGAGGTTGAAGATTGTTGTGTCTAAATCTAAATTTCATAATTCTCTATGGAGCCAAACATTCCAGTTTTACAAGTTAATCATGTGGTTGTGGAAGTTACATTCTTGTCAAAACTGCACAGCTGTGGGAGAATGAAGATGCGAAGTCTTTCCCGCTTTTTCCTAGTAACGTGCAATATATTCCTAGAAATATAAGACATAGAGCTACAATTTTCCTTTTGTTTTTCCAAATTTTTTTAGAAGAGGGAAGAACCCCGAAGCTGGCGTGGAAGACATATGACATGTTTTTCAAGCCAAGAATAATTCTTTGTCAATAATTGTTTACAAATTTGTTTTATTTTAGGAGAGTTTCTACTAGACCTTTTTAGACTTTTTACGTATAAATAAGGCGTCATAAGCTCTCTGTCCATATCACCACACCATCATAATACCA